ACTATGCACAAACATACACAACATGAAAACCCATGGCAGCCTTCTTTTCAAAACTGTTCACAGCACTGTTCACAGGCTGTTGGGAGTAGCATATTCACTACCTATGCATTCAGTCAATAATGTTGGCACTTTTCTAAACTATTCTCTCTATATATATAAATATATATAAATGTCCTGATGCATGATGCAGCTCCCGCAGCTGCCATAATTTTATAGTGACAAATCAGCCCATGCTCAATTTGTGGACGAACCCCTATGAATTCCCACTGCACATTTAGCCAGTGCTGCAAGCCTCAAGCTACGTGTTGTGGAGACCCACTGCCTACTGCTTCTTTTAGTGAAACACAACTATATGCAAGGGGAGCTTGGGAAAAAAAAAAAAAAAAAAGAGGATACTCTTTAAAAAGGCAATTTGCAACCAAACCTCCACCAGTCAGCATGCAACACCCACTGCTGAGAGATGTACCTGTTACATTTGCCAAATTAACCAAGCGATATTGGGGAAGGCCTTCTCCCGCCACAAAACAATAAATAAATAAATAATCTGGTCATTCAAACCGGGGAGAAGGAAACATTTAGTTAGAGAACTGGACGCGCAGCCCAAACTCTTGCCAGGGAGCGTCTCGTTAGAGCAAGCACAGGCTACTTCACCCTAGTCTTTGGCTCTTGGGCTGCCTGAGGAGCAGCAAAATCAAGACAGAAAATGGAACAATAAAAGGGTGAAGGAGGGAGTCACAGCACGTGAAGCCATCCATGTTGCTAGCGCAAGTATGGGATATAGGTGACATATGATTCACCTGGATGGAAGAAAACAAAAGCGGGGGGGGGAGCAAAGCTGGGACAGTGCAGTCTGTAGCTACTCCCTCAGCTCAGCTGAGGCCTGAGCTCCTTCCCTGTCTCGTTTTGTAGGCAGCTTTTTCTCCTCCTTTGCCTGGCAGGCGCCAACGTTGCACGGGGAGGGGGGAAGTTTTCTGCAATATCTGCAGAAAACTGGTCCTGCTCCTTTGTATGAGAGAGTATTAAAACAAAAGCAAACAGCAACAAAACAAGCACAGCCCTGCTCTGCCGTTCCCCGCTGATACCCGCCCTCCCTGGACGCTGCGGCCGCCCCCCGACCGGGGG